CCCCCCACTCTAAACCCAGCTGCTCGGTAGGACTGTTTATTACCACCGCCTGCATGGCCGTGTCATCTGCCCCCTCTCGCCCCGCCATGTCATCCGCCCCCTGTCGCCCCTCCGTTTCACCCTCGTTCCTTGCGGTCTGTTGTGGGGGGGGGCTGCTGTTCCTTTCGGTTCTTCCGTTATCCCCCGCCGGAATATATGTTGCTGCAGCCGGGTCAGGGGCCGCCCTGGGGATCGTTTTGTCTTTATCTTCATTTTGATCTTCCAGCTTCAGCCCAGGTTCTGCTTGTTGCTTTTGAACCCAGATCCCTCTCCCTCCCTCTTTCCCGCACTCCTCCATCCTGTCTCTTCCGAGCCCCCTTTCAGGGGGTTCAGTTGTGTCTCATGTACCTTTTCTTCTACTGGCGCCGGAGGGACCCATGGGTCCGAGGGACGTGTCTCCCACTACGGCTCCCCAGTCCTCTCCCAAATCCATCCCACCAGGGAGCCTTCTTTTGTGCGGTCTTCCACGAAAACGCAGCGTTCGTGCCCGGGATCCACTGTTCGCCAGTGAGTCACCTTGATCGGGTCCCTTAACAGCCTCCCTGTCGTTCACACCCTTTTCTGCGGGTGCAGCGGGCAATTATATTATGTGCTCAGATGGCCGTATGCTCTACACTTGTGCAGCGTGAATCATATACTCCTTTCCCCCCACCCCATATGGAATCACATTGTCGAGGGAGAACGGCTGACCCTGGGGGAAGTCCAGGGCCAGCATCAGGTAGTCATCCCTCTTAGCCACATAGGAGGGGAGGGGGTCAATGAATGCTCGCATAGCAAACCAAAATCATATACGAATGTCGCCTGGATTTCGACCAGGATATGGCGAAAGTCGACCCAACGGAATTCCTGCATCAATTGTGCCCTCCTCCCATCCGGTCCCAACCTGCGCTGTGGTACCCACGGGTAGATCTGCACCTCTGACCGCTCACACCCGAGGCATTTCCAGCCATCGATCACCGTTTTGTCTACGTTTGTTTTTGTTTTTCAATCTGAGATTTGTTCCTACTTCTTGAGGTGGAGTCATAGGGCTTGACTGCTTTTATCGTCCTTTTTTTCCCTTTCCGCAACGAGATAGCCACACTTGCTCCACTGCACAGCTTAGTCAATGTATCCGCTTCGTGATACGCTCAAAACGTTTCGTATAGCCCAGTGTATATGGGGTTACCTGCCGGATGTTGAGTAGCGGAGTCACCCAACACAATATCTCCCACACCAGTGCCACCACATAATAACTGTCCTGCCGACATGGTACCACCCAGACCCGCCTCACATACTACTGCCCAACCCACATCCCACATAGTACCGCCACATTGCCCAACATAGTGTCACCAAACCGCGTAGTGCCACCCCACATAGTATCACCCTACCCGCATAGCGTCACCCGGGCCGCATAATACCGCCCAGCCTGCATGGTACTAACTGGCCGTGCCAAGGGTTGAAGACGTCGGCCACATTTTTCTCTTTTTTTTTTAAAGGTGGCCGTGTCTGCGTTCGTTTTGTTTTCTCATTGCGACAACTTGAATGACCAATATAGCTAGGGGATCTAGAACCGAGGAGGACGAGGATTGAAAGGAGACAACACGACAGACACAACAAGAGGGAACAGGGCAAAGGACAATTACAATCAGATATGAGTCTGCACCTGACAAACCTACTGGCTAGACAGAGAGAAAATGCACATACAGAGACTCGATAAGAGAGAGAGAGAGAGAGAGAGAGAGAGAGAGAGAGAGAGAGAGAGAGAGAGAGAGAGAGAGAACGCAAACAAGACAAACAGAAACACACAAGATTATGAAAACTGACGAACTTAGGGACTCGCTGCACCACACTAGCCAAAAGATTCTGAACTTTTCCACGAGTTCTTCAAGCAGCGAAACTCCCGAATTTCGCACTGCGCTTACACTAGAACACACAAGAATACACTGACTCGCCGATTCCGGTAGTGCTTCGAGAGCACTGCAGGGTCCGGCTCCGGCGGGACCTCCAGACGACATTTTTGAGAGTGCCCTTCTCACATTCCTAAAACGACGGCACTCCTGGTCGTCATGTGACACGCCCGTGGCCAACGCTTTCCACTGCTGTCAAAGAGGTTTGTCACTGTTTTTTTTTTTGTTTTTTTTTTTTTTTGAACCGCCTACATACTACGCTATCACCTACTTGGCAAATGAGCGTCTCACACTAGCAATTGGTCCGCTGAAGCTTCAAAGAAAAATCACTACCGAAAACTACAACAATGCACTTCTCCACAAGCAACCTATCGATTGCAACGAATTTAATCGATTTGCGCCTGAGAAACACAAAAGACACAGCACAACGAGTACACCTCATTCATGTGTTCATTAATCTTTTCCAATTTTTTTTTCGCTTTCCCCCCCCTGACATCGGGGCAGGAGGGGGGCCACTTAGCGGAGTGTGGAAGTGAATATGATCTGGTGTCCCCCCCCCCGTCTCTTCTCTCTTGCCGTTCACCCTGCCATGTGCGTTGCCACGGTGCGCCTGAAACTTGTGGTATCTCGTAAAATACCAATTAATCCAAAGAAAGTACATGCGGACTGAATTTACAGCCTAGGACTAGCTCTGATTTATCCAAGGGCATACTCACACCAGAAGTTTTTCCTCCAAGCTCTGCTCTGGGCGTGATTGCAGTCAGATTCATCCAGGTCTTCCCATAATCGCAGTCAGATGCGTTTAAGAAAGTGCTGGTGTGAGGATGCCCTGACTCTGCAGACTGAATTTGTAGCCTAGGACTAGCACTGATGCATCTCAGGGCATACTCACACCAGAACTTTTTCCTCTAAGCTCTGGATGTGATTGCAGTCAGATTCATCCAGGTCTGCCCATAATCGCCACCAGATACATTAAGTAAAGTGCTGGTGTGAACACGGCCTGACTTTGCGAAAAACGGATCAGAGGGCCCTAACAGAACTGAAAGACAGGTGGGATGAGAATAGCTGGACGGTCAATTGCCTTCACCTCGTATAGCATAAATAAAAACTTAATTTGTTCAATCTATATTTCATGAGCTGCTTATCTACCTGCACTGCACAAGCCTTTCCTTTTCCATATAGATACAGGTACCTTGAGGGCAGCGGTTGGTGCCCACCTCAGGGTTTCACTTGTCAGGAAGTCGCGGATGCTTAGGAGGGACAATCATACCCATGTGCTTAGTGTGATCGTACGACTGCTCTGACAGATAAAATTGTGAAAACCAAACGGGTAAGAGAAAGGAATGATGAAGAGGGCAGGGGCAGCAGAACGGAGGGAGAGAACGGGAAGACCGAAGACAGGGAGTGACTGAGAGAGGGAAGGTGGGAGAAGGTGAGTACCAGAGAAGCGAGAAAGGAGCAGCAGGGCCTAAGGGAGCACTGTGGAAGGGGAAAAACCGAGGGGGTGGGGGGGAGGGAGGCTTTGTGAGGGGGGGAAGGGGAAAGAAGGCGAGGAACGAGGGATGGGGAGGGAGATAATACGACTGATCTGACAGATGAACTTGTGAAAACCTTAAGGAAACGGGTAAGAGAAAGGAATGATGAAGAAGCAGGGGCAGCAGAACGGAGGGAGAGAACGGGAAGACCGAAGGCAGGGAGCGACTGAGAGAGGGAAGGAGGGAGACGGTGAGTACCAGAGAAACAAGAAAGGAGCGGGAAGGCTTAAGGGACCAATGCAGAGGGGAAGAACCGAGGTGGGGAGGGGAAGGCTCTGTGAGGAGTGGAGGGGGAGGCTCTGTGAGGGGTGGAGGGGGAGGCTGTGTGAAGGGGGGGAGGGAAAGAGAGAGAGAGGAG